AAAAAAAAAAACAAAATGGGTAGGCATATTTTAGGTAGTATTTTAAGAAGTTTTCGAGACTAAAGAATAGCAAATTAATTAATTTGTAAGATAACGTTTTTATTCAGCTTTTTTGTTGTCCAGGCATATTTTCCATAATAAGGTTCAAATATTTATGATTTATTAAACAAATTAATGAAACTTTTTAATTTTTTTGTGCACCGTCTTCCATTTCGATGTGACTATTTTTGTTTTTACTTTATCAACTGGCAAATGTAATTTAACATGGACGAAAAAAGCAGTGCTGGCAAATTTTTTTTAAACATTGTAACCAGTTCGCCAGAATACCAAATTCAATTTCGGGTGTCAAAGAAAAGTAACGAAATTTACTTTACCGGTAACAGTGAGACTATTCTCCTGTAAGAAGGAAGCCAACTTTGTATAGCAACGAGAAATGAGCCGATTGCGGAGAAAATCAAATCGTCGTTGGTTTCTGGGGGACAACCGTCACTAACGGCATGGGGAAGCGGTGACAACTTTGTATTTACATGGCGCTCTCATAAGATAGGTTACTATGGAAGAATGGTACGCGAGTTGGGTAGTTGCAGCAGAAGAGAAAAGATATAACGAATATTGGAGGCACATGGTTGCACTTCCTAACTTCTAATTTCGCAACGTAAGCTGGCTGGTGTGCGGCCGATGATTCCATTTTCGTTTAACAAGTGCCTTAACTGTTGTTGGAATCATTGTATTGTTAAGTTAAATTGAACAACATTCCATTTAACAACTTATTTTGTTGGCATCACATTCATATTAAATAATTAAAATTATTTAGTTTTAAATCAATTTTGTTTTGTTGACGAAAATTCAACCATATGTTTACAAATCCGCTGTTTTTCATACTTCAAGAAGGCCTCCAATAATTTGAGCCAATATATGTCAGGAATGCATGATGTCATATTCCGACATCTCGTAGAATGACCCGAAATGACAAATGTGATGTTTACATTTCTATACGTGTACGTCATTCTCTCCTCGTTTACTCTTGCATTTTCGTCATTCTTGTAGTAAAAGCCGAACACAGATGAGCGACAGCATTGATGCCGAAGGAAATCAGCTTTGACTAAAAATTTCCCGACATACAAACATTATTTAAATTCAGTCCTTGTTCCAATATTTTTACATACAGCAATATATTCATTTAAAAAATCTGCAAAATATTGTATGCAAAACCACATATACAGAAGTCTTTAACACTGCCATGTGTTGGTGACGCAGTTCCTCAGCTCCACGAACGCCTCCTTCGTAATGGCTTTGAAATATAAAGACATCTAAGTAAAATAAATAATAATATTCGAGTCATAATGTTGTTAATGTCTAAATGCAGTTGTACCTCGCAAAATTTTGTTGAATATTTTTAAATCTGCTACTGCAGCAAGATGAGAAGCGTTTATTCTGGTCAAACTGCTTCATTAGCTGATCTTTCTGTACGATATGGAGTGCCCTTAAATAAACAAATGTAAGAAGCAATGAAAAATGAAATACTTAATTAATCCAAAACATATTATTACCATAGCTTGTACAAGATTCTCATCATGTATTTTTCACTTCTATCTACTGCGGAGAAAACGACAAAAATGGCGTTCTACTCGAAAATAAAAATATAATGTAAAACGGATAATTCGCTCAACTGCAGTCTTCTTCAATTTGGATGTACTCAGAAGAGAAAGATAAATAAAAAATGTGCATATGTGTCAGTGTGAGTGTATTGGTGAACCCATCAGCCCGTTTTTGCAGGGTTGATAGTTTTTACTGGGTTAAATTTTTCCAACACGAATTGACTTTCTTTCTTTTCAACTAAGCGCCTAACTTGCGCTCTCTCGTTACCAATTTTTGCTGAGTTATTGGCTCAACGAACACGATCCAGTAAAGTTTGTAAAAATTGTTACTGCCTGTCTGATCAACGAACATAGATGATATATGTATATTCACGCACGTCGCAATAGCTGGTAATTTTATTCAAGTTTGGCTGCAACTATCCAACGCGCGTACCAGCCGTCCATAGTAACCTATCTTATGAGAGCGCCATGTAAACACAAAGTTATCAGCGCTTTCCCATAGCGCTGCTGACGCTTGTGTCGCAGAAACCAACGAAGTTTTGATTTTTCCGTAAAACCGGCTCGGCTCATTTCTCGTTGCTATACAAGGTTGCCAGTATAGCCTTTCTTAAAGTAACATTGAATGATCGAAGAAAATGCGTAGTTTTGTTCAAAAGAAATGAAAAATAAATGCGTAACTAATTATTTGTTACCATATAGTATATGNCGGTGACAACTTTGTGTTTACATGGCGCTCTCATAAGATAGATTACTATGGACGGCTGGTACGCTCGTTGGGTAGTTGCAGCCTTAGACTTATTTTATCTGCAGTGATTAGATATTAAACCCCAATGCAAGCACAAAGTTAAATTATTAAAACACTTATATACATAAGTTATTGCGAATTTTATTTTTTTTTTTAAATCTTGCTATCAAAGTTGAACAGTAAAATTATTTGTTGATTTTAAGAATCTTCAAAATCAAAATTTTAGTGTGTATTCAAAATAAACCTTTATATACATACTACAAATATGTATAATTTAAGTATATAGAATTCTTACATCATTTCCTATTATTATCCGCTGTACAATGCATAATTTTGCAGTGACTCTTTTAAGACTCTTAAATATATTTAATTAAATATTTTCTTATTCATATATTTATATGCTCGTATCTAAGTATCTACATATAACTATTTACATATAATGTTCTTCGTTTTACAATTTGTTTATTCAATTTCATGCTACGTAAATACAAAACTACTTATCTATTTACAACTAATTCTTTTGGCAACAACTAAATTCGTTGCATATTTCTCTTCTTCTAATAATGAATTACTTTAAAGGAAGCATAAGAACCACGTCAATTATCCACAGGATCTTCAATTTAGTAAATTACCACATATCTCGTCTTTAAAATTTATAGCTTGCATCTCAAAAGTTAAACCTTCCGTCTCAAGGGATTGATTCTGGAAAGAGGAATTTCAAATAATTAGTTAAATATTAGGAATAAATAAATCTGTAGGTGTTTGATAAAACAATTTACGTATCTCAAAAAAAGAGAAAAAAACTTCCAGCCCTTTAATAAACATAATTTTAAAATACGTTTTCTGGGTCAAAAGCTGCTGAATATGCTGAAACAACACACCTCCGTCTTTTGTAAACTCACATAGTATGTCAAAAGATCTTAACTCAGATAAGTTGGCCATTCTTCAAATAATTTAAAAAAAATCAATGTAACTTGGATTTGGCAAAAGAACTTATTGTATGCCTCTGATTTTTTTCCACATCTTTTCGACAAAACAACTTACATACATAATTTCATATATGTATGCAAAGCTTATTGAATACTAGGTCATGACAACTATTGAAGTCATCAAACCAACTTCGTCATATATACAGTGGGCGGGATTTGAATGATTACGTTTGTAAATTCCTTATAGAGAAGAAAACACAAATTATACAAATTTTGTTTTTGATTTAAAGTACTAACGTCACCGCAGTCACATATTTGGCAATTTTTTTTATTAAAAAATGTCGAAAAAATTAGGGAAATTTTGATCAAGCCAAGGTCGAGGTGGCCGATTAATTACACAAATTCAATACATAAGATTTCTTTTTGCAAAAGAATACTTCATTCTTGCAGGCATATTATACGATGAATTCTTTATGGCAAAACTTCAGGTTTTCAGCCCACCAATTGTATCATAAAATTCATAAAATGGAGCGGCTAACGAATATTCTACAATATTACTTGTTGTTGGTTTTTTGAAATTTTTGTGCACAATATTCTACTGAACACTATTTCATCGCTTCAAATTTTTAAACACGATTTTTTCACAAATGAGAGATTATCCATTTCCCAAAAGTCCTAGTAGATTACTAATGTAATCATTTCGGAAGTTTCGATGTACTTTTTGCCAGAGTCGTGTATTTTCGGATTTAACGAGGGGCAAGACTTTTATTTTGCATGGTGAAATTTTTTGTGTAAAAATTACTTTTTTGTATTAGTTTTAACATAAATGCACATATTAAGTAATTTTCGAAGAGAATGCTTCTCCTCCTTCAAAAAAAATTATATGAATCAAACAAGAAGCAATTCTGAAATATCAAACGATTCCCTCAACATAAAAATATACGTGGCTCTGGCTGCTATCAGCTGATTGCACAAAATAAATAATTTGAGGGAACAAACAAGGAAATGTGAAAATGGAAACATGCATAAAATCATATTCGTTTCAGCAATGTTTGTCCGTGCAGAAATAATCTGCACTTGCAAATCTTCCGATTGCATAAATAGCCAAATAAAATGAATGCGGTCTCTTGAATTCATGATTTCAGTAGTGGCAAATTTCGCAAGCTGCAAATGTAAACAAAAATCAGCTGTTTAAGTTAACTCACTTTCGGTGAAAACGTTTGACATTTTATTCAATTAACAGAGGCCTTAAATGCATTTAAGTACTGGGAGGAAATAAGCTATAATATTTAACTTTACACATAATAACCTATTTCCACCAAGCACTTAAATGCATTTAAGGCCTCTGTTAAGTAAATGAAATGTCAAACGTTTCCACTGAAAGTGAGTTAACTCAAACAGTTAATTTTTGTTTACATTTGCAGTTTACAAAATTTGCCACAACTATAGAAATCATGAATTCAAGAGACCGCATTCATTTTATTTGGCTATTTCTGCAATCTTAAGACTTGCAAGTGCAGATTATTTCTGCACGGACAAACGTTGCTGAAACGAAAATTCTTTTATGCATCTTTCCATTTTCATATTTGTTTGTTTGTTCCCTCAAATTATTTATTTTGCGCAATCAGCTGATAGCTACCAGAGCCACGTATATTTTTATGTTGAGGGGATCGTCTGATATTCCACAATTGTTTTTTGTTTGTTTCTTATAGTTTTTTTTTTTTGAAGGCGGAGAAGCATTCTCTTCGCCAATTACTTAATATAGGCATTTATGTTAAAACTAATACAAAAAAGGAATTTTCATACAAAAAATTTCACCATGCAAAATAAAAATCTCGCCCCTCATTAAATCCGAAAACACACGACTCTGGCAAGAAGTACACCGAAACTTCCGAAATGATTACATTAGTAGTGACAGCATCCAATGTTAACATAACATTTTCTGTTAAATTGCCGCCACTTTGAAAAGTGAGTTAACACACTTTTATAGTCTATTTCCACCAAGCACTTAAATGCATTTAAGGCCTCTGTTAAGTGAATGATTGATTGATTGATTTATTTTATTTTAAGCATATAAATATACATAAAATAATACAGAGTAACAGCACTAGCCCTAGGCCATCGGCTGGTTTTATAATTAATTGTTATTATCTACAGTTTCAGCTTAATTGTAACATACTTAATTATGTTTACATATTTATTAATATAATCAATTATATTAAATTAGAATTATATTAAATGCGCTACGTTACACAGTAGAAGAAATTTAGATATAGTGTTTATGTTCGACAAATTTGTATTTGGTAATAGTTCAGATGGGAGAGCTGTGCCAAAGATTCTTTGTCTTATCGTGTTGAAATGGGGACACTCATCTAAAATATGTTTTACAGATGTTCTTGACGAATTACAAAATGAGCAAGATGCGCCTCCGGAGTTTAATAGGTGGCCATGTGTGATTTTCGTGTGACCTAGTCTGAGCCGTGTAAACATTATGATGTCCTTGTGTTTAGTTTCCGTTGAATAAACGGGTTTTCTTCTATTGGGGTTGATTGAAGCGTAGTGATGAGAGTACCCATTCCATTTGAGTAAGGTTTTATTATGAACATATTGCTTTATAAGACGTATCAGGTCACTACTTTCAAGTGCGTTATAGAATAGGACTGGTTCGTTATGAAGGCTTTTTGCAACAGAGTCAGCAAATTCATTGCCTTGGATTCCACAGTGCCCAGGTACCCACATCAATTTAATTTTGTTGCTGTGTTTTATAAGTAGATCTCGAATGCTGATTACCAAAATACTTTTGTTCGTAAAGTTTTGTATTGCTTCGATGGAAGACTGGCTATCTGAGCAAATACAGAATTTGCCTATGCTCTTTGCAGCTATTAGAGTCGCTTGGTATATAGCAAAAATTTCACTGGTAAATGTTGAGCAGTAGTTGAACATCAGTCCTTTTTTCAAAACTAACAGGTCTTCGGATATGACAGCGAAAGATGTTGAAAGATTCGTTTTTGAGCCGTCGGTGAATAGGAATTTGAATGACTTCAAGTTTAGTTTTTGTTTTTGTTCTAGGAAAATCTGTCGATAGACAATAGCATTAGTGTTTTGCTTTTGATATTCCTTCAAGCAGCAGATAAACGATCTGTTTGTAAGAAGCCAAGGTGGGTAGTTACATAGTTTTTGTTTTGTGGGCTTAGTGAATAAATTCAATTTTTTGGCTAAGATGAAAATGTGATATAGTGCTGACAACCTTTTTGGAAGGCGTTTTCTACTTATAGCCATAGATATGTTTTTGTAGAGCTGATGATTCTTGCATGATAGAACTTTGTATATGAGGCCAGCGGTTATATATTCCATTCGCTCGTTTAAACTAGGAAATCCGGCTTCTGTTAAGATGTTACAGATAGGAGTAGTTGTGAATGCTCGTAGACTTTTCCGTAATGCAGCATGATAAGGAGCAGCGAGTAGGTTTAGGTTGTTTTTGGCACAGCTTCCATATATTGGTAAAGCGTAATCGATTACAGATAAAATTAGTGATTTAACAATGTAAGAGAGTGTAGAAGTATGTACAAAAGAAGTTTTTGATGAAAAGTATTTTATAATGCTAAGACGTTTGATTAACTTATTTCTAATGTAATTGCAATGACACTTTAATGTATATTTACAGTCAAAGAAAATACCTAGAATTTTTAGTTGGTTAACATTTTTTATAGCTATATTGTTGTAGGAAAGTTGTATTCCCGAACAGCGCATCTTTCGACAAATATGTAAAATATTACATTTCTCGTATGACATAATCGCTCCAGATTCAAGCGACCATGTAGAAATGTCTTGCAGGATTTTACCAAAAATAATTCTGACAGATACTAAATTATCTAGTTTAGTGAAAAGCAGAACGTGGTCAGCGTAGATAGTGTGGTTTATTTTGTATTTGTCTATGATCTTACCTATTTCGTCGAACCCTATAATAAATAAAACAACCGAAAGTGGTGAACCCTGAGGAATCCCATTATGCAGGTTATAACTGTCGGAAGAATAGCCATTAATTCTGACTATGAATCTTCGATTCCTTAAAAAACTCTTAGCATAATTATATATTTTAGATCCAATCTTCCATTTTTCTAGTTGTCTTAAAACAACATGAGCTCCGATCCGATCAAAAGCTCGTTCAAAATCAAGAGAAAGTGATGTAATATGTTTTTTATTGGACAGAGCATTAGAAGTAAAGTGGTCGAAGGACAAAAGAGCGTCAATGGTACTGTGACCATTTTTGAAAGCAACTTGGTTTATGTTTAAAAGTCTATGTTTGGTTGCAAACCACATTAGTCTATTAGCTATGATCTTCTCTAGAATTTTACTGTTACATGGCAATAGGGAAATCGGACGGAAGTTGCAAGGTTTATCCGGTGGCTTGTTAGGTTTAGGAATAGGAGATATATATGCAAATTTCCAACTTTGAGGAATGATACCAGAAGAAAATATATTGTTGTATAAATTTAGAAGTCTAGTTTTGATTGAATCTGGAAGGTGTTTTATCATTATATAACTAATACGGTCAAAACCTGGTGCAGAGCCGCTAGTTCTGGATAACACGCTTTCGAATTCTTGAAAGGTTATAACATTGTCTATCATTTTTGCTGTACGAGTGAGAAATTCCGGGAAAGAATAAGTCCTACTTAAAAATCTATTTTTTTGTGCTACAAATTCATAGGAAAAGTTTTTGTTATCTGAGTAATCAGACCAATGTTTACCGAATAAATTTGCAATTTCCTTTGTACAAGAAATTCTTTGGTTATTATTAATAAGTTGTGGAATTGTAAAATTGCTGTAAGAGCCCGAAAGCTATTAATAGTGACTCTAATAAAGCATTCTTTTTTTGCTTTCTTTGCATAAAGTTTGAATTTCGCGTTGGCTGCCTTGTATATTAAAAGGTTTTGCATGGATCGTATACGTTAAAAGGTATGCCACGCATCTTGTTTGATTTCACGCAATTCGGCTAGCTCACGGTTCCACCAGGGAACGCATTTTTTATTATGGAATGGTTTTGTTTGAGGAATGGAAAAAGTAGCCGCGTTGAGAATAATCTTTTTTATGGAACTGGCTTCTTTGTTTATGTTATTACTAAATGGGTGAAAAAGATTATTTTTATCACATTGAAATCTGTATTTATTCCAGTCAGCTATGTCGGTTTTAAATCGTGCAACGTGTTTGTTTTTAGGGTTGTCGCAGTTTAAATGGAAAATTATCGGGTAGTGGTCGCTACCCCGAAGATTGTCTAGGATATTCCAAGAGAGTAGTGGATAAATACTTATGGAGGACAGAGTAATGTCGACATGCGTAAAAGAATTGTGCGTGGAAAAATGTGTGGGAGCCTTATTGTTCAAGACAATTAGGTCATAATTACATATAAGGTTTTCAATTGCTTTACCCCTTTTGTTTTGTGTAGCAGAGCCCCAAAGAGGACTCCAGGCATTAACATCTCCACAGAAAACAAGTGGATGTCGTAGTGAAGCTAAAATTGATTCAATTCCTCGTATATCAAAATCTCTACCAGGGGGGAAATAGGCGGATAATAGCGTAAAAGTAATATTAGTTTTAATTTCCAAAGCAATAATATTTAAATTTGTTTGAATATTAACTTTATGATGCCAGATACCTTTTTTAATAAGCACACCAGTTCCGTGTTTATTCGTATTTGAGGGGTTATGGAAATAAGCATTATAGGCTGAAGGAGGGATGGGGTTAGCACTAAAGCCGAGATGAGTTTCTTGTAAAGAAATAATATCGGGTTTAAAATCAGAAATAAGTAAGAGAAGCTCATGATAATTATTAAAAAAGCCGTTTATATTCCACTGCAGAAACGTTAACATATAAATGTAATGGTAGCGAAATTAAATTGATGATATATTGTAGTAAAAATATTTGTTTATTTTATTTAGAGCATCACTCATCAGATTCATCTGACATTTTAGATAACTGAGAGAGAGAGAGAACTTTATTGAGTGATGGCAATGGTGAAAAAGCATTATTTGTAAAGCTGACGTCTGTGGTGATTTCAAAATTGTTAAGAGAGTTATTTGAAGTGTGATATGGAGATGTCTCTTTGTCGCTTCTTGAAAAGTTCTCTTCGTGGTGTTGTTGATAAGCTAAGCTGTTGCTTGAAAACGGTAATGTTCGGTCGTTGGGGTGCGTAAATGAAAGGTGAGCATTTGTTTTAATAGGTGATGTGTTGTTGTTGCATTGGTCGACTATTGCGTTTGAAGTAGAAGCACTTTGCGTGAGATGAGCACGTGGATCTTGCGCTGTAGTAAATACAGAATTTGACTGTATGTTATTTAATGGTTTTATGTTGTTGTTTTCTTTGTTTATTGTTTGTTTAGGGATAGAGGTACTTTGTGTAGTACTAACATGTGATGAATCGTTGGATGATAGAACAGTGGCGTAGGATGCATTAGAATTAACAGGGGGTATTGTGAGTTGAGTTCGATAGATATTTCTAGCTTCCAACATAGAACATTTGTTTTTGGTTTTGATAGCCAATATTTCTTTAGCTTGCTGAAATTTCTTGCATTGATTGGAGGATGAAGGGTGTTCCTCGGAGCAATTCGCGCACATAACGCGGGTGCGGGTGCAGGGGTTGATGAGGGGGTAATGAACAACCAACGCATATCGGTTGATTTTTGCACCATTTTGAGGTGTGCCCGAGTAGTTGACACAATTTACAGCGCATTGGGTTGGGAATATACTCCCTAACTTTGGCGGAATGCCAAGAAATGTCAATTTTGGAAGGCAGTATGTATGAGTCAAACGAAATTAAAACAACACCACTAGGAGTTAGCTTACCGTCAATCATTTTTTGAAATTTATAGACTGAAGTAACACCTTGACTGCTAAGTTCGCTTACAATTTCTTTTTCAGGAACATTTTTAAGATAAGGCGCGTAGATTGTTCCCTTGGTGGTGTTGAGTGAAGAATGTAGTGAAAATTTTACAGAACCAACTCCATGTAGTAACGTAGTAGATAGAAATTTCTGTGCGATTTTCTTATCCTTTACAAGGAGTAACAGATTACCATCTCTGAGTTCACCATCGATGAGACGATACTACACGGTGTTGTGCAGTATGAACGCTAAGCCCCCACCGTGGTCTCGCTCGCGATCCTTACGGATCATGTTGTATCCGGCCCTGTTCAGAAGATCTGATCGGACGGTCAACTTGGTTTCCTGGATCGCAGCAATTGACAGGTGCTCATGTAGGCGACTATCTCGTCAATCTTTCCCTGGAGTCCGTTGCAGTAAAATTGTAGGAGTCGGGTCTGTCTTGGGGGAAAGTTCGTGATTCGGGGGGTGAGGGAGTGATGCGAGAGTTGGTTCCGCACGTTGGTGTTAGTTGGCGGAGGGTTTGTAGAGACATGCAGGGGCATACACCTACAGCACGGGGCAACATACGCATCGCTCCACTCACGGGTGGTGCACAGGCCAGAGCACGTTCGAAAGTGACACCAGCCAGAGCTAAAGTTGCATTTGACTGAGGTCACGTTCCGACGCACTATGGTCTGACACACGGAACAGGCAGTGCGGGGGACTAGGAGCTGCTGGGTAGCCCTCGCATGGGAGGGGGATGAGGGGCTGGTTGTGGGTAGGGATGGGGGTGGAGGTTGGAGGGAATCATGCTGCGGGGAGCTCCGTGAAACCGTGGAGGTCTGCTGATTACCCAGAGTGGGTACAGGTGCTGAAGGCACTGCCGTGGAGGCTGAGGAGGCGGTTGGACGCTGGCAGCATGGGGCCACATAACTCGTGGTCCATTCCCTGTGAGTCTTAGGGCCTGAGCAGGTCTTAAGATAACTCCAACCATTGCACTGGTTGCATCTAACCGAGGTAGAGGAATGCTGGAGTCTTCTATGACACACGCAGCAGAAATAATCCGTCGGTCCAGGGTTGGTTTCTACACCAGCCCTGATCAGGAGGATTTGGAGCAACCCAGCTGCAAGGAGTTGCTCCATTGGCGAACTTAGACTAAAGTTACCTGTAGACCTAAACGGTGCGTAAAACCGGCTGTCGTGAGAGTTGACTAGAGAACCATGATGCTTCTTTGTGAAAAAGCGCAAAAAGTAAATTACATAGGCAGCACATAGAGTGAGTTCAAAAATTTCAGTTGCAAAGGAAAGGGCAAATTGTCATGCATTCCTAAATGCAACTGTGCATACTTTCTCAAAGTATCATGTTGCGAAATGTATGTGATTGATGCGCGCAAACAAAA